ACTATATTAGCTGATTACGGGAGGGGCGAAAACCCCGCGAAAACCCTTTTGGGAGAAAACACGGGGAAATTCCCATCCGGCTCCTTATTATCTTCTTCTTATTATGGCAACCAAGTTTGTTAACACATCTTATAAGCATCTGGATGTAAAATGCACACTGCCCATAATCTGCCAGATGAAATAACGACGCGAAAGTGTAATTTAACTGGCAACTTTCTTTCCGAGTCGCATACGTATCCCATACGCGTACTTCATGTATCTGTAATTGTCCCGATATTTGTAATGGTCCTTGTAATTATTATCCTCACAAAACTGTTGTATAATCTGCTAGTTTTGATGCGCGTGTAGGATACGTATTAGTCTGAGGATCAGACATTCACGTGTACAGGCCCGTACGCCACACGAATGAACGTCTGTGACGTCATTTCGATCAGAAATGTGGACATAGCTGTTGATTGGTCAATTTGGCTGCCATGGTTTTGTAGTACAACGGGTTACCGAAGAGCCGATAGAAGGCGCCCGCTGAATGGTCAGAATCTTGTTTTGTCTTGTTTTGCATAACATATCGCCGAATCTTCACTTATATCATAGACGCTATTGTGTATGCAAACGGCTATTCCATATAGATACCTACACGGCTCAGAATGGTTAAATCACCATTTTTCATTGTTATTTCATCTGGCACAACATTTGCACTGTGCACTTTACATGAAGATATTTAGATGTATGTTATGTGGGTCTGGTGAAGCAAACACATAAGTTTGCTATTACCTGCTATATTGTTCCTAAGCCGCATACATATCACGTGTACCCGCAACGTTTCTGAAGGTATAGAAATGTACTAGTATAACGGAAGATGTATGCAGTTTGTAATAATTATGTTGCCGATCACATCGTTAGTTTTTTATTACTATTATTTCATCGTGCCCGCACATCTTCATTTCACCACATGAAATGGTGAAGAAATCAGCATTTTCCACTAAAACCTTGTACATCTCCCGTGCTCTCTGGATCTTGACTTCTTGTCTATTTCTTTTCTCCACGGAGTCCGACCAGCTTTTTTTTCTGGTAAGATAGACAACACAGTGAAATAGATGAAATAATGAAAATGATGTGTTACACTCATTGTCTTTATACCTCTGAGAACGATTTTTTTTAAGTCCTTTATATTTATGCTAAAAAGTCTGATTCCTCATTCCAGTTCGAGATTCGGTACCCTTAGCACTCCATCCAGTCATTCAGCAGCCGTCTACTGTATGTACTCATCGGCCGCCTGGTTCCCTTCAACCAGCTGTAGGAGTTGGAGAAATCGGCAAAATGGATGGCATCGGTAATCCCATCATTGTCGGCTCGGATCACGTTAATTACAATGTGACAGTCCAGGGAGCGGCATCAAGTAAAGTAGTTTCAATTCTTGTTTTTCTTAATATTCCATTTCTAGTTAACCGTTCTTCAAATGTTGACAGCAACTACCATGACGTAATGTATACCAAGTGCTCGTCGTTCTAACTTTAACAGTTTTGGGTTTTGCGTTTAAAAATTCTTCTAATGTCACTGAGATTGACCCATTCAGATAACGATGTTAGTATCAGTTGTCTTAAGATTCCCAGTGCAGTAATAATGTATACTTAATGGGCTGTAATGGAATGCTCAAACTGTCGAAGCAACTAAGTGTTATTCTATGGGCTCCGTGCGCCCACAAAATAATGTGCTGAAAAGCTACAGCCACCGCGTCTTCGCGTGAGCATCATGTGTCGTCGGCACTCGAATACGTTCGAATTTAACTTGCGATGGTCTCCGAGACTCATCCAGCTTTGGATACATTCGAAATGCGCAGTGGATGGATCGTGAACCAGTCTATGTCAACCCTAACTCTCCTTTTTTAGATGAAATACTTGTGCACGGAGCCCATACCTATTGTATCTATTAAGCATATTGGAAGAGGGGATGATATCACAACGGTTCGTTTCCAAATTTCAAGTTCCCCAACAACAAAAAACGAAGTAGTGCAAGCCATAAAAACTATGACACCTTATAGGATAAACCAATAGTTAATTAATTGAACGTTCAATCAGTGAAATGTTAAAAGGCGCCGGATTTCATGGAGAGTCCAAATTTCATGTGACAATGGAAAAGTGTTTAAGACCAGCTAGCCATGTCTTTATCATCCGTTTAAGACTGGCCACGTGACGGGCTCTCGACCAATAGGAATACGTAAACTGTCTTAGGTATTAATGAATAATGGTTTATGAATATTGAAAAGTACATACATACAATTTTTGTGAATTTCATTCAAATTTGGTTTGAATATTCACTCGAGTTGACAGCAACTAGCTGTGCAGTTACTCTATGAATAAACTTCGTGAGTGATAGGAAAATAGACGTTGAACTGGCTGCCTCAAACGGGCAAATTTCGCAGCGAACGTTTCATGACGTCAAATTCGCTTCTCATTCGCATTCGTATGATATATGAACCGGGCTTTATACAATGTAATTACCTAGACGTCAGCCAGGGCTTATGCGCATAATGCGCGCGCCGCGGCACCAGTTTATTGCCGCGTGGGTATAAAAGCGCGAGCTCGTGCTTAGTGGGGCAGTTCCTGAGCTGTTCCTCGGCAGTCCCGTTCCAGAGTGAGACACGTGCGACCAGTAGTGCGTCGCAGTTGCTGAGCGTGTTCATTCTCAGTCACTCGCCCGTGCAGATTAGTGGTATATGTAGTAGGCCGCTGTGTCCGTAAGTGAAGCTCTTACTGGGATAAGTTTAGCGGGGGCTAGTCCAGTTAGTTAAAGAGGGGAAAAACTCCGTCCACGGGAATAAGTAAGGAGGCCGTAGTGGTGAGTGGATGTTAACTTAGTGGGGGAGATTTATTACCTGTACAGGGAACTCGCACCTGTTTAGGAAACCCACACCTGTTTAGGGGAGGCACCTGGGAAGGTGACCAACACCTGTCAAGGCCTAGAGATGATTTACAGTCCGCCTGAGTAGCTGATAATAAACGAGTGTCAACCTAAAGAGAAGAGTCCCGTGTTTGATCTAGAAGTGCCCCGTCTTCCTTCCCCTGCCCTGTTCCCGTGTGTGCTGGCACGAGTGCTGCAGGCGTAAGACCCGCCCGCAAATAAAGTTGTTCCCCTGCTGCGCCTGGCGGTAGACTGCCCCCAAAACGGTCTTGCTCCCTTGACCTCAGGATTGACTACTCGCTGACGTCGGCCGAGGACGACTCGGGGTTGCTGTCGGCACGACCGCCACAACTGGTGTCAGAAGTGGGATAGGTGTTGTTGGTAGAACAACTAGTATTTAGCCAGAACAACTAGTATTTTGCTATGGATCAGCACTCGATGGAAGGAAGGGGACTGCTGCCAATGAATGACGTGGTGGTAGGTGCCGAAGACTATGCTCTTCGCCTGAGGGGAGCAATACGGTCTGCCCATGAGCGGGCGAGAGATCACTTGAAAGCAAGTGCAAGTGCATTTTGATCGGCTTAAACCCTACGCGGGTGAGACACCAGAGATGTGGATTGCCCAGGAGACACCTGTGACACATAGACCAACACGGACGAGACAAGTGGAGGGAGCTTCACTGGAGGGACCACAGCTAGGCGCGGCTTAAGAGTTGGTTGATGAGCGAGATAATGATGGCTCGACGGTGTCAACCAAAGTGCAAGTACCGGTAACACCTGTGGAGGAGTCCAGTGGAAATACAGAGGTCCCTATAGTTGTGGGGACGGGGCACCGACTACGGAGCAGGGCTCACATGGGGTGTCACGGCCGTCGTCACTTACCCGGAGAGCCGCCTGAGGGCGCTGTTCAGTTTTTACGGTCTCCGTTCACCTCACGAACGGCATTGTCAAGGTAGACATTTTAGCCTGACATTCTGCCTGATTTCTCTCAGAAATCTCAGTCAATCGTCCGATTCAAGTCATTGTGTAATCCTTGCAGGTCACCTTAGTCATTTGTAGATTCATCTAGCCCCACAGTCATGTAAGTTTCTCAGTATTTCTATGTCATTTCGAGATAATTCCGAGTCAATATTTTCCACGTGCGTAGATTTATTACATTCTTTATTGTTGTTGGACTTAAAATCATCTAGATTCGACTCAGCTACGTTGATGGTTAAATCTGCTGCCGTAGTTTTCTCTAAAAGTGTTTAGTACTAGTCACTCAGTTACCCATAGATAATTAGATTTCCGTGTATTTTGGAAGTTACTCAAGTGAGCAATACCTGTATTTAAAACCTGAAGGGCCTCCATTCCGATAGGTTTCCCCTTCACGTGGTGGAGCGATCCCTGTATTTAAGGTTTATGTTCATTTTACATAAACTGCTCATTTTAAAGGGATTTTAGTGCTTTTAGTAAGTGTTTTACACGCATTTCTTCATTTTAAACATGGATCAAAGTGTTTTATAAGGTTTTGTGTACTTTATTACAGTTCACCGTGGAATAAGGTTCATTTGGAAACCGCAGCTCTGACCTCCGGCCATATCGTTCTTTGTTCTTCGGTCGACACTCTCTGGTTGAACCTAAGCTACCGATTCCCTGAATCTACGCCTTTGCAGACGCCAGAACAGTGAAATGACTGTGTTGTTAAACAACTGGCTTCAAGTCGACTTCTTGTAAAACAACTGACAGTGAATACTACACGCAAGACTGCACACGTTATTCACCCAAAAACCTAAAGAGACTCGAACAAAAGAAAATAATGGCCATATACGGAGGTGAAGTGCCTGAGGAAAATCATGTTCCTGTAGGACTGCCAGCTGATATGCAGAACGCCGAACAGGAACTCAGTCACAGATGGGGAATTACCAAACAATTCCTCGAAACCCTTCAGAACCCAACAGACCGAGAAGACGTCATACGGCACACACTGGCCGCTATCCAGCCTGCCCTTCAAGCGTACACAGAGGCCTTCCAAGAACTGGAAAGACTTTACGCAACAGATTCATCCTACACGGACCGTGCAGCCCAAACGAAAACAACCTTCCTCGAGCACAGTAACCTTGTCAACAGCGCCATCGTCAAAGCGACTGACAAGGCTTGCTCCTTGGCCTTGGAAACTGTGTGACCGGCCAGACTTAAATTCCTGTAATTATGCTGCCAGGTCCCGTTTGTAAAATATTTCTTTGTCGATGTCTTATATTTTTAGCATAAACAGCGATGCGAAAGTTGTCGAAGCATTGCGAGCGCCCTCTTGTGTTTTCCGTTGAATAGAGCATACCGAGTTGCGTAACAATTTGCATATGACATGCAGTGCGAAAAAGCCCTTTATTCCGTGCAGTGTCTCAAAAGCATAGGGCTTCGGACGCACATTCCGTGAATGTTTCGCTAGTTTTCTTGGAGAGTAAGCAAGCATGGGTAGGTCACTTGACTGCTTGTCGTTGCTGCTGCCAGCCACACCTTATTTCGAGCCAGCTTGTCTATATTTTGCTGTGTTTCTCACGTGGTTTTGCCATGGTTAGCACGCCGCATGTGCATATTGTGTACATGCATATCGTGTAGTTTGCCCAAACATCCCGAGGCATAGGTACACAGGCCGCAACTGCTCCGGTAAGTGTTTCAACTTCGTAAATTTTGATGTTATCTTAAATAGCACTTTACGACACATTTTTATGCCATAAAATAAATACCCCTGGTTGAAAGCCAAGTCTATGAACTTTGAGCATAATAGGACTTGAATTTTCGATACCGAACCTTGTAATATTGACTGTGTACTTGCACATACTACGATCCTAAATATGTTGAATTATAGGGTCAATGCACTTTATTGAACTCAAATGTGGATAGCGTGGATGGAAAGAGAACTTAAAGAATGTTAAGCCTGAAATGAAACACATGAGACATATAGATGGATGTACGAATACAGAATATTGAATACTCTTTTTATGAGCCTTACTGTTTAAACAAACAAATGTTAAGAAATTGATGTACGGTATAAAATGCATTGTAAATTCATCAATATAGAATAACCGCGGATGTGTACACATGTACTGTGGAGATGAAACTTTTTGATGGCACTGATGATTATTTAATATTCCTTCATCGAAACATTTATTAATATTTATGAGAGTACTTAATTAGTACAGTAATTTTATTACAGCTACTGCTTGTGGTTCTGTGGTTCCTGATGGTCACAAACAGAGAAGCCTTCTCGAGTAGACCAGTGTATCCCTTATCCAGCATCCATAATATTTGGGTACGTGTATAAAACATTGTTGCTTGAAATGTGCCTAAGAATTGGAGATTTAGAGATTTGGAGATTTGGAGATTAATGTGTTGTAAAATTATTGCATAGCAAGTGCTTATGGAGATTATTTCTCCTTGATTAAATTTTATGCCTTTAATATTTTTATGCCTCTCGTAAGAAATGTACTTGTAAATTCGCAGCAAAAACATTTCTATGGAACAAATCAATGGAAATTGAGGTTTATAGAACCAGTAAAGCAAGTTCTCATGATAAGAGATAACCAAGGATAAGGAGAGATGGTTATTTCAAATAATTAAATAATTGAATATTGGATTCATAGTCATTGTATATTTGTAAATAAATTAATTTCTATTCTTCTGTTTTCTGTTATTAAAGACTGCTGAAGAATGACTGTCGTTTTTTTGTAGTAATAAAATTTTGATCAATTTATAGTGGAATATATGCCCAGTTCACTTTTAAATTTCTGCGTAACCTTTCCAGCTCGGTTACAACTGTATCAAATATTTCAAGGCATTCCAGAGTCTCATCCAGAAGCGATGGAGCTTCTCGAATTTCCAAGACACCGTCCTCATCCTTCAGTATCAAGGCTCAAGCACTAGCCTCCGCTGCAGCCGCTGCAGAAAATGTAGCGTTTGAGGAAGTCATCGCCAAGCGTACAACCGAGTTGGTCTCACGGCAAGCAGCAAGGAAACTTGAACATGCCAAACAAGAGGCACAAAAAATACTTCTGCAGGCCCAATACGACCTGGAGCAACAAACCACCAGAGCAGCCGCTGACGCTGACTTGCAAATACTACGAGCTAAACAAGCTGCAGCCATAGAGAGAGCTCGATCCAACGCTATCCTACAAGCGGAACAGGAAGAAAACACGACACCACCCACAACGACACCTGAGCAGTCCTCCAACGACCACGCAATGAACTTTTGCACAACAATCACGAGTGATGTCCATCCACCGGCTGCGAGTCCATTGCAAGCCTCTGCACCCCCATTTCAACCGATGGAGAGTTCTTCTGCTCCGACCACCGACTCGATAAATGCAACGCGACCTAGTCCACCGGAAGCTAGAAAGGAGGCTGAACCTGGGAACCAGCCGATCGACCTAACGAAGGCGATCCTATCATGTTTCAGCCATGGCGGTCATCCTTCCACACCATGATAAGCCAAGCACAGACACCCCGACACAGAAACTTGCATTCTTGGCCAAGTATACAGCAGGCGAGGTTCGACAGCTCGTTGACCGGTTCCGACATCGCCATGTCATGGACCCACGGACTGCCTACGATGAGGCATGGCAGGAACTCGAGGAACGATTCGGGAACAAAACAAGGATCGCATCCCAGATAATAGACAGGCTGATTGCCTTCCCCAAAATTAAAGCAGATAAGCGCCGAAAGCTACTTGACTTCGCAGACTTGTGTGTGGATGCGGCAGCGCAGATGAAGGATTTGACCGGACTCAACGTCCTGAACTATCCGTACAATCTCCACCCACTCCTGGAAAAACTCCCCCAGTTCGTCCACAACAAGTGGCGAGAATGCGTCTCCAAGTACAAAAAGGCGCACGAATGCTACCCACCATTTCAGGAACTTGCATCGTTTCTCAGGGAGAAGGCTAGAACGAGCAATGATCCTGACCTCTATCCGCCGAGTACGTACGCCGAAATCAGCAAGCTGAACAGAGAAAAACCCAGTGCTACACTTCCGCCTCATAAGTCACCTTTTCGTGTGATGGCTACAAAGGGTACCCCACCTATGCAACAGAACTCTTCACCCCCCGCAAGATGCCTCTTCCACGACCAGACTGGCCACGACCTCTCCGAATGCATCGCCTTTGGGAGAAAGCCAATGGCAGAAAGGTCACAGTTCTGCAAACAGAAGGGTCTGTGTTTCAATATTGGCCAGAAGCACCTAATCAAAGACTGTCAGACCGTAGTCAGATGCAGAAAGTGTGACAGCAAGTCGCATGCTTCGTTCATGCACTTCCCCACCAAGCTGAATGGCGGGGAGCCAGAGGAGAGATCTAAAGCAAAACCAGAAGAAAAGAGAGGAGACACACCTGAAGCTAACACTAAATGTACAAGGTACAGGTCATGTGTTATGGCACACTCCTGCTCCAAGATAGTGCCAGTCAAAGTTTACAATCAGAGCGCACCGTCTGTTTCTATCGAAGCTTATGCCGTCCTTGATGACCAGTCAAACGCATGCCTTGGAGATCCCAAGCTTTTCGAAGCACTCAATCTCCACGGTCCATCCTACGACTATGAACTGTCAACCTGCGGAGGTCGGCAAATCCTCACTGAAGGAAGACCAGCACAAGGAATAGTAATGGAGTCCTTGAGTGGCCACAAAGAGCGCCTACCCACAGTTCTAGAAAACGAGAACATCCCAGGTGACAGAGACGAGATCCCGTCCCCGGACCTCTGCAAGAACTTCTCCCACCTGAGCCAGATTGCCGACATGATTCCCAGCCCAAGGGAGGATGTAGATATCCTCTTACTCATCGGAAGGAGCTGTTCGGAACCCCTCAAAGTCCGAGAATCAAGAAATGGACCCAAAGACACCCCCTGGGCCCAGCGCACGAACATGGGTTGGACTGTGTCCGGCCGTATGTGCATGAGCAGCGTCAAGAACAGAGAACACGTCTCAGTCAGCCGTACAGTCCTGACGCAGATGGCCTCTCTTCAGCCTCGCTCCGACACTACCGACGATCAACCAAACTACTGTGGTGCTTGTGAAAACCACATCAACACAAAGGATGTAGTCAGTGCTCACCAGGGTGCATTTTCCAGCATTTACGTCGAGACACGTGACGATAACAACAAGGCCCCATCGATTGAGGATCAACGTTTTGTCAAGACTATGACAGACAACGTCCACACAAATGTCAACGGAAATCTGGAATTTCCGCTTCCCTTCAAGGAAACTCCAACCCATCTCCCAAACAACCGGTCCCAAGCCCAAGCTCGACTGCACAACCTCCTCCGGACTCTTACCCGCAAACCAGGGTTGATGAACGAGTATCGAGCCTTTATGGGTAAGATACTTCGAAAACGAATTGCGAGACCGAGTTGCCATTGACAGCATCACATTTTACTCAGACAGTAAAGTGGTCCTGGGCTATATAGCCAACGAATCCAGACGCTTTCACGTCTACCTGACCAACAGGGTTCACAAGATCCACACGGCTTCCAACCCTGACCAGTGGCGCCATGTTCCAACAGACCAAAACCCTGCAGACCTCGCATCACGGTCTGTTCCAGAGGAGAGCTGAACGACACACACTGGCTTCGTGGACCAGACTTCTTGTGGCAGTCAGACCCTTCTCCGACTGAAGTAGTGACTACGGATGCTGCCGGCCAAACACTAGACGAAAACGACCCCGAGGTACGCAAGCAGGCCGCCACGCTCGCAACAAACATCGGGGAAGAAACCAGTGACAAAGGTACTTCGGATGTCGAATCTTCCCTTAGCTGTGATCGATTCTCCAGATTCTCCAGCTGGCCCTTCCTTTCACGGGCATTTGGTTCCCTAATTCAAAGGGTACAAGCCTTCAAGGCAGCGAGGGACGAAACCACAGCATCCGACCCTGATGAAAGACTGTCTCACAGTTACAACAAGCAGAAAAGGATATCCTCAAGGCAGTACAGAGTCACTCCTTCAGAGAGGAAATGCAGACGTTGAAGCAAGCGCAAAACGATCCCAACGTAACCACCAGCAGGAAAAGCCCGCTCCTGAAGTTGAGCCCGTTTCTCGACAGTGACGGAATCATCAGAGTGGGCGGAAGACTTAAGCGCTCAGATATGGACTTAGCAACTTGCCATCCAATCGTCCTTCCAAAGGATGGCCATGTCTCCAAGCTGTTGGCAGAACACTACCACCGCCAGGTACAACACCAAGGCCGACAATTGACACTGGGGGCTATAAGATCAGCAGGCCTGTGGGTAATTGGGTCCCACAACCTCATCAGAAGCATCATCAACCGATGCATCACCTGCAGAAAGCTGAGAGGAAAGCCACTGACCCAGGTCGTGGCTGACCTGCCAGAAGACAGAGTTACAGCATCACCACCTTTCACCAATGTTGGCATGGACGTCTTTGGGCCATGGACAGTCGTCACCAGAAAGACGAGGGGCGGAACCTCCGATTCCAAAAGGTGGGCTGTACTCTTCACCTGCCTCTACAGTAGGGCTATTCATGTGGAGGTCATTGAGTCAATGGAAACGTCATCATTTATATCTGCCTACCGCAGATTTGTGGCTGTAAGGGGACCAGTAGCCAAACTGAGGTGCGACAGGGGCACCAACTTTGTCGGTGCAAAACACGAGCTAGACGAAGCCTTTAAGGAGAGTGATCATGAACAGGTGGCATCCTACCTAGCATCACAACAGTGCCAGTGGGTATTTAACCCTCCCCACGCTTCACATTTTGGCGGCGTTTGGGAGCGTCAGATTGGCACAGTCAGACGTGTCCTCAATGTGATGTTTCTGTAACTTGGCAAACACCAGTTGACGCACGAGGTGCTCGTTACATTCATGGCCGAGGCATGCGCCATAGTCAACTCTCGTCCATTAGGTACCGTCTCACCAGACGCTGATGACCCCCAAGCCATCAGTCCCTCCATGTTGCTGACCATCAAACCCCAGCAACTCCAGCCCCTTCCCGGAAACTTCGTAAGAGAAGATTTGTACGGTCGCAGACGCTGGCGCCGCGTGCAATACCTTGCAGATCAATTTTGGATCCGCTGGAGGAAAGAGTACGTCCACAGCCTACAACCCAGACGGAAGTGGCCTGTCGTACACCCCGACATCACCAACGGAGATGTCATCCTTCTACGTGACAAGGAACTCCCAAGGTGCCAGTGGCCTCTCGCTCGCGGCACCGAAGTCCACCTGAGTGAAGATGGAAGAGTTCGAAAGGCGGATGTTACCATCTGCAGTGGAGGAACCCGACGCAACTACCTGAGGCCAATCTCAGAGCTCACTCTCATCGAGAAGGTACCCGACTCAGACTAAAGAGACTATAGGATTTGGACTGTATCAGTCTCCAACTTCCTCATATACATTTGTTATGTGTTCTAAGCGTTTTTGTAAAAATCCTGTCTTTAAGTATTTTTAGACGGGGAGTGTCACGGCCGTCGTCACTTACCCGGAGAGCCGCCTGAGAGCGCTGTTCAGTTTTTACGGTCTCCGTTCACCTCACGAACGGCATTGTCAAGGTAGACATTTTAGCCCGACATTCTGCCTGATTTCTCTCAGAAATCTCAGTCAATCGTCCGATTCAAGTCAATGTGTAATCCTTTCAGGTCACCTTAGTCATTTGTAGATTCATCTAGCCCCACAGTCATGTAAGTTTCTCAGTATTTCTATGTCATTTCGAGATAATTCCGAGTCAATATTTTCCACGTGCGTAGATTTATTACATTCTTTATTGTTGTTGGACTTAAAATCATCTAGATTCGACTCAGCTACGTTGATGGTTAAATCTGCTGCCGTAGTTTTCTCTAATAGTGTTTAGTACTAATCACTCTGTTGCTCATAGATAATTAGATTTCCGTGTATTTTGGAAGTTACTCAAGTGAGCAATACCTGTATTTAAAACCTGAAAGGCCTCCATTCCGATAGGTTACCCATTCACGTGGTGAAGCGATCCCTGTATTTACGGTTTATGCTCATTTTACATAAACTGCTCATTTTAAAGGGATTTTAGTGCTTTTAGTAAGGGTTTTACACGCATTTCTTCATTTTAAACATGGATCAAAGTGTTTTATAAGGTTTTGTGTACTTTTTTACAGTTCACCGTGGAATAAAGTTCATTTGGAAACCGCAGCTCTGACCTCCGGCCATATCGTTCTTTGTTCTTCGGTCGACACTCTCTGGTTGAACCTAAGCTACCGATTCCCTGAATCTACGCCTTTGCAGACGCCAGAACGCCTCAACGCCTGTGATGCAGTGCAAGCAGCTGCATCACAGGCGTTGAGGCGAAATCCAAAAAGACAGCGCAAAAAGCCGCAACAATATCTGTAATTGAAGGAACAGGGGCACCTATTTACCAATCCAAGGGCAGAAAAGTAACGAGTTAATCTGAAAAATAAGATGTTGATTGTGTTGGCAGGTAGGTGATGGGGAAGGACGGTGTAGACAAACAGGCTCGAAAGGAGGATCCGATCAAGTGCCGGAGGTGTGACCAGACGTCTCTGCACCAGCGCAGTCTAATCCGACACCTGGCCGTCGAACATTGGCCAAAAATCTACTTCCGATGCCGAAGGTGTGCCCATAAAAATAACAGGATCGACAACCTACGGTACCACTACCGGGACTGCCACCCAGACAAAGTAGAAGAGGTAGCAGACATCAAGAGTGAAACCTGCGGGAAGTTAGAGAAGTCTGAGCGTCGTTGCGAGACAGGTGGGAACCGGCGCAAAAAGAGCCCAACTCCACCTAAGATATCAAGGGAGAAACAACTTAAAAAGGATACGGACGCCTGCAGGAAGGCGAGTGAGAAACCAGAGGGTATGACACGAGGATCGTCACCTTGGAGCAGCGGGAAAGAGGATCGGTCGTCCAAGAAGCAAGGTAGGAAAGAAGCTACCGAGAAACGATCGACCAAGAAGCCTGCTGGACCAGCCGCCTGTACGGTGTCAAGGGCGCCTGACTCGGGTTCGGAGGAGCAAGTGATTTAGAGCACCTGCACAGGAGGAGGAACCGCCACAGGAAGCGGGAATACATGTGACAACTTAGGGAGATGTGCAAGCTCAGAGGGAGGGAGAAGCTAATGTCCGACAGGTTGAGGATGCTGTTCCGGAGGTGCAAGGGCCGCTTCCACTTACTGCTGAAGACCTGTGAGAGATGGTGGAAATTGAGCTGTCGCCGACACTGTTGTCTGTGTGGGAACCAGACGAACACCTCGTGGAGGAGGTACCAAGGCCAACCAGAGGTGGAAAATCCATTCGCTTGATGCAGGTTGAAGATTGGCAGCAACCAAGGCGATGGGAGAGAGGAGGTTGACCAGCGAAGTTATTCTTGTCAGGCCAGTAACATCTTGTCAGGCCAGGCTGTAAAGGTGAAGGAAGTAGGGGAGACGTACTTGTACCGCGTGAGGAGTCGAAGGTGCTCCAAGGAGAAACTCATTGGGAGTTTGATGTGGTCTATCTGTACTGTGCCAACCGAGCCTGCTTCGCCAGCGCCTGAGTCCAGGATCCGCAGGATCGTCCAATCCACTGATACAGGAGAGGAGCGACTAGGACCTTCAAACGATGAAGAAGGCCTGGGACAAGCTATGGCAGGGAATTCACCAGAGTTACCGAGACCTCATCGAGAGTGGTGTACTAGGATGACCAGAAAATCAGGAAGGACAAGACCACACGCGTATATGACGTCGCCTTCATTGCCAGAATGGCCGTGAACAAATAAACAACTCAAGGAAGATCCAGTTTATAACACATTTCAAGGAACTTTTAAGAGGCCCTTATTTATAACTGTATATGTAAGTAATTATTTAAGTGTTTGCGCCTGAGAAGTTCCAGCTAAAGTTTTGTAAGGTTTTGTAAAGTTTCTACAGTTTTGTAAAATTTTATAAAGTTTTCTAATTCTAAAGTTTTCAAGTTTTATACCTTTTCAAGTTTAAAAGTGTTGCGGACAATTTAAAGAGGGGAGGAACTCCGTCCACGGGAATAAGTAGGGAGGCCGTAGTGGTGAGTGGACGTTAACTTGGAAAGATTTATAACCTGTACAGGGAACTCGCACCTGTTTATGAAACCCGCACCTGTTTAGGGGAGGCACCTGGGAAGGTGACCAACACCTGTCTAGGCCTAGAGATGATTTACAGTCCGCCTGCAGTGGCGTAGCCACGGGGGGGGGGGGGCGTGGGGGGGGGCGACAGTCGCCTCCACTGAGATTTTGAGTTTCTAAAAAAATATCACTGATCTACATGACACCCCCCATGAAATGTTCCAGCCCCCCCCCCAGCGCCCCCCACTAATAATGAACGAGTGTCAACCTAAAGAGAAGAGTCCCGTGTTTGATCTAGAGGTGCCTGTTACAACTGATAATGTAGTAACCAACGGATAATGTATCACCAACCGATAATGTATCACAAATTGACTGATACTGTATCACTAACCGATAATGTAGCAAAAATTGACTGATAGTGTAGTAGAATTTGTATCCGATAATGTATCACGTGTCGACGGATAATGTAACTACAAAATAACTATCCGATAATGTATCACCGCGGAACGGATACTGTATCAACCGATAAAGTACCAAAAGCAACCGATAATGTATCAAAAATCAACCGATAATGTAAGGTGTACACAAATGTTTGTTTTATGTCCTATGTATCCCGCCCCACCTTTTGACAGGGGAAAGGGGTCTGGGCTATAGTCACCCCACCCCCATTATTTTGTATTTAGAGAAAAAAGGGCAGATTTGGGGGTGTTTTTTTTTCAAACTTCCCAACCGCCGAAATACATTAAATAGTACTGAGAAAGGGAGAAAAAGCACAAAAAGCTTGAAATGCGCTGATACATCTGTATCAATGCGAAGACGCTGCGGCTAATAGCCTTGGCACATTCTGGAAGTGGCGTTGAACTTTGCGCGCGAACCAGTACAGTACAGTTCGCACATGCTGTGTCCCGTCCATTGATCTCCATACATGGTGTTCTCAAAAGTGGTAAAACGCGTCCTCTTGGGTTGGAGCACGGAGCCCATACGGAGGCCAAGTGTCCGGAGAAAAGAACTTGTCCACATTTCGGCGCGGATGTGCGAATGCAGTTAAAAATATTCTTAATGATAAACTTTCCCGAGTGGGGACTTATCATAGCAAAGACACTTATTAGACTAATTAATTTGCAATATTTCCACCTTTTCCAAATATACTGATACATTATCGGTTGATTTTTGACACATTATCAGTTGATACAGTATCCGTTCCGTGGTGATACATTATCGGATACAGTTATTTTGTAGTTACATTATCCGTCGACACGTGATACATTATCGGATACAAATTTTACTACACTATCAGTCAATTTTTGCTACATTATCGGTTAGTGATACAATATCGGTAAATTTGTGATACATTATCGGTTGGTGATACGTTAATATCCGTTGTTTACTACATTATCAGTTGTAACAGTGCCCCGTCTTCCTTCCCCTGCCCTGTTCCCGTGTGTGCTGGCACGAGTGCTGCAGGCGTAAGACGCGCCCGCAAATAAAGTTGTTCCCCTGCTGCGCCTGGCGGTAGACTGCCTCGAAATGGGCCTGCTCCCTTGGCCTTCTCAGAATTGACCGCTCGCTGACGTCGGCCGAGGACGACTCGGGGTTGCTGTCGGCACAACTGCCACACTCTCTACACTGTGTGGAGACTGGTTCCCGTCCAAACATTATCAATCCTGACGAGGCGGGAACCAGTCTACATTGCGAGTACTTTATTAAACTTATTTTTCAATAACTAAACACGGGCCTTTTTTGGTTCGATGTCTCAATCAAAGTGAATACCTTTTATATTGCTGATTCATGAAACCCCTTTGTCCGCGCCTTGGGCGAAGTAAGGCACTTTTCTGCCTTTGTTTTTACGCTTGGTCTTTTCATCTATGACATTGTCTGTCTTATTTTAATTTTTTTGCAGATAAAGGCGTGGTAAAAGATCAACCCTTTGTACAAAACACCCGTCCTGAGGTCTGCAGTCCATCGGCAAGAACCAGTCAAGATACCAGCCCAGACACCAGCCCAGCCACCGATGAAAAAGCAGACGCTGCCGCGGATATGTGTGAAGGGGCACTTAAGAAGAGGTACACGACCACGGGCAGTTACGTGCAAATGAATCCATTGATTGATGATGACATGAGGCATATCAAGAAAATATACACAAATGTACGATTAAGCAGTGAAGATGATGAAAATGAGGATGATAATAATGATGGGGATGGGGATGATGATGATGGTGAACGAGGACAGGGGTTGAACCGTGAAAAGGGTTTGAACCATGAAAAGGGGAAGGAAATGTTGTATGAGGATACCTTCCTCGTGAAAAACGAAGATGGTTTCGTTATCAATCGTATAATTTATAATGGAGAGGCCGGTCTGGGAAAAACAACACTAGTATGTAAAATTGCGTGCGACTGGGCGCTTGGCGTTTGCAACACAACAAAGAAGTACAAACTTGTGTTTGTTCTAAAAGTGAACGCACTGGAACAAACGTCAGATTTTATTGACTCTCTTTTTGATCAACTCGTCGACGAAAACGTTATCGATAAGAACCATCTGAAAAGGTTCATCTTCAAGAATCCTAAAAAGGTGCTGCTTCTTCTGGATGGCTTCGATGAATTTATGACAACCGACCTCGATAAGAAATCATTTGGCACGATCCTACAAATCCTCAATCGAAAGGTCGGAGCTGATATTGATGTGGTCATAACCACCCGCCCCTCCCATTTTCCCACTTTGGTCAGCAAATCACTAATTGAAAAACCTTTCACCCATGTGAAAGTCCTGGGCTTCTTTGAAAAGGACATGGAAGCTTATTTGAGGAAATTTTTCTCTAAGAAACCTGATGATGGTAAGGCCCTTTTCCAAAAGATTCAATCCTCAAACGGTTTGTTTGATTTAGCGCAGAGCCCAATGCTGTTGCTATTTATGTGTTTATTATGGAGACAAAATTCCACACTACCAGACACACTATCGCGATTGTACAGAAAGGCTATGCAATATTTATCCGAAAGAAAAGGTGTACCACGGGAGGAAATCCTAAAGATTGTTGTAGCAATTGGAGAGGTTGCCTTTCTTGGCCTTGTGTCTCCAGTGCAGCGGCTTTCATTTCAAGAAGGAGAATTTCAGAAGAATGTGCTTGATATAGCTTTGAAGGCTGGCATACTCACAAGGCAGCGAGTCATAAAAGTGTTAGACACTCATAACAGTGTTCAATTTATCCACAAAACAATTCAGGAGTTTTGTGCTGCTAAGTATCTTCAAAGCTTACAAGAAACAGACGCTGATGAATTTGAGAAACTTCTAGTTGAACTTAATGATCCTTGTAGGTTTGGCTATATTCTGCGCTTTTGCTGCGGTGACAATGAAGCTTGCACGAAACATGTCTTACAAAATATATTGCAATATGTTGGCATTAATACTACAAAAAGACTACCACGATTGCCAGCGATGTGTTACAGTCTGTTAACGTTGCTAGCAACTATCAAACCTTTAGGAATAGCGCATGTAGTGGCGTTCGGAACGACCGCATGCGCAACGACCGCATGCGGAACGACCGCAGGCGCAACGACCGCATGCGTATTGACCGCATACGCAACGACCGAATTCACAACGACCACGTCAAACACTAGGACAAAAGCGTTGAAATTTGCCCTGAATTGTTATTTTGAAAGTCAGGCGGAAACCCTTTTATCGACGACATTCGTCAATTCAGTCATAACTGATTCAATCGATGTACCATTTTTCAGAAGTGACGAGATTAACATTTTAGGATGGTTTGTGAAGCATGTTGCCGACAATTCAAAATGCATACCGAATAATCCAGTTGCCAAAGTTAAGGAAATTAAATTCGACTCTTGTACCATAATGGAAGGGTGTTGTGAAGGCTTAGCAAACGCTATGGCGACATTGAAGAATCTTTCTGTTATTCGTTTGGAGAGATGCTTCTTAACTGCTGACAGTATGAAAGTCATCGCATCACAATTAGGCAAGACAGCTACTCACTTGACTGAGCTACAACTTTCTCACTGTAATGGTTTAACGGATTCTGTACACTTGTGGATGCCACCGTTAATTAAAACGCATCTGAAGAAGCTAAATCTTACCAGCTGTTGGTTAAATAAAGACGACGTTAATTGTATTGCCCAATTAGTGGGGGATATGCCCAATTTGGTAAAATTAGACATGGGTCCTCGTGGAATAAATATGGACGCAACACAGGGAGAAAGTGTAAAACTGCATTTGTGCCGCATGTCATTATCTGTTACAGAAATTAAACTTATCTTGAAGGCAATAGAAAACAGAAGAAACGTTGGTGAACTGCACGTAGAATGTATTAAGAGTCTGGGTGGCAAAGCATCTATATGGTCCTCGCAAATCAATGAACTAAAGTGCCTTAAGCAGGTGACACTTCACAACTGCTCATTACAAAGCGCAGATATTGAGCACATTGTTGCTTCACTAGAAGACATGCCTACTGTAGTTAAACTGGATCTATCTGGAAATAAATCCTTGACTGGGTTAGGTAAATCATGCGATCAATTACTGCGCCTCAAACAACTTCAAGAGCTTTTATTAAATGATTGCGATTCTAGCCCACGCGATGTGCGATGCATTGCCGCACTGGTTTTCTGTATGCCAAATCTTGTTCAATGTAGTTTTAATAACGTTATGGTGAGTAAACACTATACTGACAGAAGGAAAGATTCCTGGGGGGATTCCCGGGGGATGCCGTTCATTGATGCAGATGCACAGGACATTTCAGGGGCCACGCGTATAAGGAGTGACCCAGTTGACGTGACCATTAAGGGTATGGCTGGACTTCATGGCACAGCAGCTGCATGGTTGCCTGCATTACGAGAACTTAAAAATCTCAAACGGTTAAAATTGTATGACTGTTCATTAATAGGCGCGAATATGGAGCATATTGCTGAATCCCTTAGTGACACACCCACTTTGGTTGAACTGGATTTCTCTGGAAACAAATCTCTAGCAGGCTCAGGTGCTTCTTGGTCTCAGTTACAGGGACTAAAACAACTGAAGAAGCTCACATTAGATGGTTGTGGTTTAGGCGTACAGGACGTGATACACATTGCAGCATTACCAGGCGGTATACCTAATCTTGCGCAGTGTAGTATTGATCATTTCTTTGAGTTAAAAAGAATGGAAAGAGGCGTAAGGATGAAGCTCTCGTTGTTGTCAGTCACTGGATCCGATGCGGCAGATATTTTGAAGGTCGTGAGTAATTGTAACGACTTAGTTGAAGTGGTGTTTCAGGATATTTCCGGCCTTAAGGACACAGCAGCTGAATGGTCACATGCTTGCCATGGCCTAAAACATCTTGAACGATGTGAGTTTCAAAACTGTTCATTGATAGGCGCGGATATTGAACACATTGCTGCATCCCTTAGTGACACAACTACATTGGTTGAACTGGATCTGTCTGGAAATAAATCGCTAGCAGGCTCAGGTGCTTCTTGGTCTCAGTTACAGGGCCTAAAACAACTAAAGAAGCTCACTTTAGATGGTTGTCGTTTAGGCGTACCGGACGTGATACGCATTGCAGCATTAGCTGGCTGTATACCTACTCTTGCGCAGTGTAGTATTTATAATTTCTTTGAGTTAAAAAGAATGGAAAGAGGCGTAAAGATGAAGCTGTCGTTGTTGTCAGTCACTGGATCTGATGCGGCAGATATTTTGAAGGTCGTGGGTAATTGTAACTACTTAGTTGAAGTGGTATTTCAGGATATTTCCGGCCTCAAGGGCACAACAGCTGAATGGTCACATGCTTTTCATGGCCTAAAACATCTTGAACGATGTAAGTTTCGATCCTGCTCATTAATACGCGCGGATATTGAACACATTGCTGCGTCCCTTAGTGACACACCTACATTGGTTGAACTGGATCTGTCTGGAAATAGGTCACTGGGTGGTTCCCATGCATTGTCTCATTTAAAGTGCCTAAAACATCTTCAGGCACTGACCTTGAGGTCTTGCTCTTTGACACTTCAAGACATGGCATCACTGAGTGACTTGCCCACTCTTATTAAGCTGGATCTTTCTAAAAATGCATCTCTGGCTGGTTCAGGTGCATGGGCTCATTTAGAGTTCTTGAATCAACTTGGGCGACTTTTTACGCAGAGTTGTTTAGGTGCATGGTCTCATTTAAAGTGCTTGAAACAACTTAAACAACTCGTCGTATATTCTTGTTCATTGAGAGAAAACGATATTCGGCACATTGCTGCGTCTCTGAGTTGCATGCCAAATTTAGTTGAACTGGATCTGTCTGGAAATTACTCCCTGGGTGGTTCGGGTGCATGGACTCACTTAAAAAGCATGAAACAACTTAAACAACTCATCCTACAGAGGTGTACCCTGAGTGCTCGTGATATTCCGCACATTGCTTCGTTACTGAGTGACATGCCGAATCTGGTAAAGCTCGATCTGTCAATAAACTCTGTTGACGAATCTGAAACAGCTTCAGTGCAGCGACCGAATCTGGAAATACTCCATACATAGACCACAGTCCTCCATCAGCATGTAGCCTCTCTCAAGTTCTGGTTGCACTGCATTGATGGTCAGATAACATGGTACCAGAACATAATTTTATGGTACATCATCTTTCCCATGGGGTTACCTTGGGTATCGAAGGACTAATAGCGCATTATAAGAAATGGGCCCATCGCTCATCCCCGTTCATTGCTAAGCCTATGATTTTGTTATGTCATCAGTCACATAGAAGAGCAACTATCTTCGCCACTGTTTTTTTCTCTAAAGATTTTGACATCAACTGTTATTGTTAACTTTTAAATTGGTAGCTTACATTGTATCGACCGTATATAAGGAACTCATCATGGGCCTTATTCACGAGTCGGCCATATTGAATTTAAAGTGAGGTAAAATCTTTATTTTTGAAACTTGCAAATAAATGAAAGCAATGACAAAGTTTATTACACATTATACCATTCTGCTCTTATGAATAATTTTAAATCTATGATTAAACATACTCTAATGGTTTAAGCCACAAAAAATGAAAGTGAGGCTAGAATGTATAATTAGTCTGGTACCATCCCGTTCAACAGTTCACAATTTATAAAATACATTCAGTGAACCCAACCAATATGGCTTTCTCGTGAATAAGGTCCATGACACCACTCTCCACTTCTGTGACTTGTACTATATATATATCAGCAATGATGATTCGATGCGTCAGTACTATCTTGTACTATCAGTACGTATGTATATGTATTAATAAAAAAAAGTATTAATAATATGGATCAGTCAGGGAAAAGCGTATAAAAACTTGTTCCATGCTATCAGATGTTATGCACGTTTTACTAAAATAGCCCATTTTTCAACAGAATGCCATTGAAGCTATTGGGCTGAGTGAGAATTACCGATTACACGCAGACACTAAAATACAAATGAGATTTCATTTGTTTGCGGCAAGACATTATTTTTACTGCCATATTTTTGTATTTTGAACAAGTCAACTCTTTCTGAAACATTGATGGTGAATTGCATCTGTTTCCTTTGCAACTTTTCATTCATTCATCGAGGTGGGAAAATGTCCATATTTTATTGTATGTAATTTGTATTCATCAATTCGTACTGGATGGTGAATAATCAGTGGTGGACAACTGAATTTTGTGATCTTGTTATGAATAGAACTTGGGGAAAGAGTACGAAATGTAACGACTGATATATAAATGATTGTAAACTTTTTATACATTTGATAGTTTTGTGATTGTGTTTTGTTAATCTAAACTAATTGTCCAATTACTATAGTTGTATACATTGATCTTGTATCAAGCAATGTGGGCGAATCACAATCAATATGAAGTTGATGTTATGTTAAAAATAATGTTCTTATATGTTATAATGTGTAGATGCAGGGATTGGGAAAACTACTGTTTGCTGGATATCTGATATTTGCACCGAAAATAAAAGCTTATTTTGATAATTGTGAACTGCTGGTGAACATAAATACAAAAATGACTTGTCACTGTAATATTTCAGATGTGTCGGGGCAGCAGGGAAAATGTAATACTCCATACATGGAAAAGCCTACATATAAAATGAGCTCATACATATAAAATATGACGTACGCTTGCCCAGTAAACAGTTCAACTAGGATCAGAAATCGGTTACTTTTTTCTTTTCAATTGTTCACTTTTTACGAAAGCTATAAAATAACAAGTGTCCCTTTTGTGTATCAGGATGGCTTAGAGAACGAACAACGAATGTACTTTGCATTACTAAGTTACAAATGTTATGTATCTTTATTCAAGCTGCTTCAACAGTAATCAATAGCGCATAATTTTTTTAATAACGTTTGTGCTGTATTCAGTTGCACAACATGAACCATTATTTGTTTGGTTCAAGAGATGTTCAAGATTTACTGATTGTATACAAATAAACAAACACACTGATTCGCTCAAAGATACCATTTCGCTTTCTTATAGAATCGAGCATGCACACAGAAAAAAATCAAAGAAATGACATATGAATACTTCGTTTAGACATCTGATGCATTATGTTATACAACAAACGTCTGAACAGAAATTGTTTGCTCACTGATGTTTATAAGGATTTGGTAATTATGCTAAGGAATAGTGACTTCAATTTTGAAAAAAAGATAAGATAATATAATAAAAATAAAGGTTTGGTATGAAATAAAATACAGTTAACATATAGAAACATTTTTGACAGCTGCCGAGGCCATTCTTTGTACGCTGAATTAGAAATCTATATGTACAATTCTTTGTTTGTATCAACATATATTTGGAGGTGAACTCCACACCGACCCCCCCCACCCTTCTCTCCCGCCCACCCCCAGTATTCGCCTCCTCTAGCCACGATCGCAAACATCGATGTACATGTATACATTTGATAAGGAAATCAGGTCTTTAAATCAGCGAAACCTTTCAAACCTATAGACCTAAACCTATAAAAAAAACCTATTATTTAAACTTGCAATCCTTCTTTATAAGTTAGTTGTAATCCTTTAAAATAAATTTTTATTATTTTGTCATAAAGTTGTAAACAATTTTCAAAAGAAAACCTTAAGAATCATTTTTACCCACCGTTTATTTATCATAGCGCTAAAATAACCACATTGTAAATGTCGTTCTCATTTTTTTTACGAGTGTTTTAGAATTGGGCAGTTTGCATGAAATTGGTTTTAAGTAACTTTATCTAGTGTAGAGAGCTTCGTGCTGAAAACAACCTAATAACCTATAAAGCAGAAAGAAAGCCTAAACACCTATAAATGCCTAAATTTGGGGGCTTGGAAAACTTTATAAACCTATATTTCGATTTTCAAAACCTATATCTAAAAAAACGATTTTGAGGAAGAGGGATACCGAGGGGCCTTGGATATTCTTTATATTCATATCTCTTTATCAACTTCAACTTAATTTAATAAATGCATATTTAAGACCTTATAATCTCCTCTTTATCCACTTGTTTTTAGCATTGTAGATTTCTCTTAAGAATTCTCGGATGATTCATTCAAAAATATTGAACTGACAACAGCAATGCTTACATTACATGAGTTTTAATTTACAGCAGCTCCCACAATGTAATATTTCACATATTATAACAGGCCCCCCAAAACCACCCAAATGTACAGCGTACAGCGAAGGAGACTTGGGGGGGGGGGGGACTTGGGGGGAATTCAGGGAGGGGCCGGGGGCGTGGCGGGGGGGGGGGGGGTTAAGGGGCGTATATACCCCCAATATGTTGTATTGCACGTTTTCATTCAAGTGCCTTTTTCCACCAGCGTCCCCCCTCCCGGTATTTGTAGAGAGTGCCCTTCTTTTAACAAAGGCCCTTCTTTTATAAAACAAGTGCCCTTTTTTTGGCAGCTGCCTGTTATGAGCGCCCTTTTTTGGAATTTCGCGCGACTGTTGGCAGTAGGGCCGCTCTGAACAGCGTCATATATTGTACGATAGTGTGTATTATCGCCCGGTTTGAACAGCACCACTATTTGAAGAACCACCTTCCCCGCACTGTTTTCATTTTTTTTTATAATTATTACAGTGTCCGAAAAAACCTCAGTGAAAATGACGTTGCTATGTCTCTGGCGGCCTACTTGTCTAATTAGCTGCCTCCGGAGAAGAATTTGCCATTATTTATTAACGGCACTTCATCCATATTAACAACAAAATTCGCTACTTGATGTTTCAAAGGGCGAGGGCAGCATAAGTAGCTACCCATATACTATTGTCAAACTGGGCCCAATTTTATGGCTCTGCTATAAAGTACGGACACACGAAATGCCGACTTTTTAGAACCCCCCTGTACGCATGGCATACGCAGTGGTTCCGAAGACTGAAGTTGAAAGTCTGAACAGTTCAACTATTGAAGAAAGCAGCAAAAGCAGCAAAAGGTAATTGCTTTGTATCTAATGAATGGCAATGAAAGATGATAATTTTTTTTGGCTGCGAGTCTTTTCCTTTATTACCGTTACAAATTAAAGCGAAGGAAGAAGGCTGCTAATGTTATCAAAGCTCACAGTAATTTGTATAGTACCTTATTTTGTCTATGGATAAAAATTGTCTTACTTTCGTCCATTTTATTTTAAAAAATATATAGCAGCATGATTAGAAGAGCGTGAACTGATTTTTTTTAAAGTTAGATATATCAATCAGTGTCAATGCGGCGATCAGTGTCATCGTTGATGTGTGTTAAGTGTTAGGCTCGTACAGCTGATCCCTTTATAATATTGCCAGTGTATAACCCACTCAGTTTTGGAACTGTGTTTATATGCCAACATTCGAGTTCTCGCAGTTCTTAAAACTTAATATGAACTTTATACGAACTTTATTCCAAAATACCGCCCTCTGGTTCCTTTTGACGGAATGCATTTGACTTTCAACGAAGGTCACTAACGGGTACCAGGAAATACCTGTGGAATCGGGGTGTAAATATCTCGTACGTTGCGCCTATACACCAATACCCCATTCACCCTCTCGTCATGTAGTCTCACACTTTGCTTTTAAGTGAAACTTTACGCTCGCATCATAGATTCGGACTCTTCCGTCGACTACCCGCGTCTAGACGGCCTGCTTGAGCTTCATGTGTTGATCCACAGATCCATGGGAATGTAACTCGGAAACTCGTCACCGAGCAAGTAAGACACAGCGCTCAGAACAAAAGACTCGATGAGTTGCCGAAGTTCGATTGCCTACCGTTGACTGCAGGTGAGTCATGAACGTTCACTGAAAAACAAAAAGGGTGTGACTAATGACTTGTAACACATCATTACCTTTTAGTCAGTGGGCTTGTGGGGCCCATATGCATTTCCAACAATGTTGGAAACTCTCACCATCACTCAAGGAAACTTCAACAAGTTCAAAACCAAGTTGTTGCCATTTTTTCTGACCCTTTCATATGCGGGGTTATGACTTAAAAAAAGGCACATAGCGCGCAAAAAACCCCAAATTTAGATAATTTCACTTTTCTTTTTAGCATTTTGATTGCTCGCCCAAGTGCTTCATTAAGAGAATAAAAAATTCCAGAATCTTGCTGGTGGAGCAAAATTTTATAGAAGTAGGGACAAACGCTGTTGACAGAAAATCAAGCTGTAACGGGCAATCTGGGTGTGGTATTTTTCCCATCCACTATAGGCCTACACTATGTCCCACAAAAAGTGTCCGTCTCGGTTTTTTTTTAAAATAGGCCTAGCTGCAAAACCTCGAAGTTAATTTTGAAAATTGTTATTTGTGCAGATACTCCTTAGTCTTGGCCTAAA